GCAATACACAATGGTTTTCTTGTTAATGATAAAACCTGATGTGAATATTTTTACCTAACTGTCTAATTCAAGTTACAAGTGAGCAATTAGGGTTCCATTAATTTTTTGTATTTCTGAGAATCCAGGTCGATTTCTATCTCACTGCCTGAGAGATTCTTGACACTGGTTCCTACTTTGGCAGACCTTTGTTAACAGTTCATTCGCATCAATTTCTTATTCTTTCTCCTATAAATCTACTCTCCACCCCCCATCTCGTCAAAAGGCCAGCCCTTGATCTCTATTGATTAGAACAAATTTAATTGAAGCACCACTCTCTTGTCCTGCATTAACTACCAAGAAAAAAACAAATAATTCCTTGCCTGTTATGTTATTGAGTCTCATCCCAAGTGCACTCTTAGGACATAGTTGAAATAAAGTTAACTAAAATATGAAGATCCTGTATTTTCAGTGTTTCTCATTCCAGTTCTTTCCCATTGTAGCAGTGTAGTGTTTTTCTTCTACACTGAAGATCTAATTTCTTCAATAAAAGTAAGTTCAGTTCTCAAGTCATATTCAATTTGAAATGTTCACTCTGTTTTTCTCTCTCCACAGACGCTGTCTGACTTATTGAGTATTTGCAACACGTCTGTCTTTTTAAACATCATTTTTCAATGTGATTTTTTTAGAAGAAGGAGGATGTGTGGAAGCTAGTTACCGAGTGGTATTCTATGCCTTTTTGGAACATGTGTTAGTCTCTACCTTCCTTGTGCTTGGTCATACAACATGAGGAAAAATGCCTTTGCTCAAAGGGTAGGGAACTTGCAAATTTCTCTACCACAGAAGTTGGTGAACATATTCAAGAGATAGATAGATTTCTAGATTTTAAAGGCATCAAGGGGTATGGGGAGAAACTGGGAATAAAGCATTGAGGTAGAGGTGCAGGCATGACCCTATTGAATGGCTGAACAGGCTTGAAGGGCCGAATAGCCTATTCCTGCTCCTAGGCTCTATACTTCTACAAGATGGTTCTATAGATGTTACTTCTACATATAACACCTCATCTGGCATATTACTAGGTGCAACTAGAGTTATTTGAGTGAGATGACTGAGTGATATGAATGTGGCACACCCTGAATATGTCCTCTCCTGTAGCTAGGTATTGCCTCTATAATTTCCTGTGATCTATGTGAATGCAAGTTTCGAGTCACCAAGCAATAAGATTATTGAAAGTGTCTACTGACTATTTTATCTAAATTCCCAACTCAATGCCACACCTCTTCCCTTGCATGTTGAATATGACCATTACAAATTCTCAAAAATATATATCTGAACATTTATAAATTTAAATATGGCTGTTCTTGTCACTTCTGTCACATGCATCTGTTATACATTGCTCTCATATTGTCATACAGTTTGTGAATTAGTAGTCCTATGACAATCATTTGTAATTGCTTGGTTGCTGTAGTTGCTTCATAATTTTTTTTAGGATGCTTTCACATGCTGAATGACTGTATTGAACAACAGTGCTAAAATAATCAGAATCTTTTTGTAATTAGGCCCCGCAAGATTCAAGTCCTAGTTTAGCAAAGAATGAAGGACTTAAAATAGTCCATTTCTGCCAATCCCATTTGATCTTCATAGTTCATGCAACTCTGTAATGAAGTCTACCTCTCCAAGAGTGGACATAACAACACTGGTTTTTGTCAATATTACGGAGGATGCTGCAGGTTTATGGGAAATAGATTGATTTTGCACTCTGCATTTTTTTTCCTCCTGACATCTAAGTAAACCTACATAACAAATAAAAAGAATGTTCAGAAAAACATTTTCAAACAGAGCTTATGAGAACTCCGAGCAAAAGTAGGCAATTCAGCTCCTCATGTCTGTTCTGCCATTTAATACAATCGTGGCTGATCTCCACTTGTTGGAATTTAGAAGAATGAGAGGTGATTTCATTGAAACATATAGGATTCTTGACAGGATAAATGCTGAGAAGATGACTCCCCTAATGGGAGTGTCTAGGACCAGAGATCATAGTCTCACAAATAAGGGGTGTCAATTTAAGACTCAGATGGGGAGGAATTTCTTCTCTCAGAAGGTTGAGATTGTTTGGAACTCCTTGCCAAATACAGCAGTGTGGGCAGAATCCTTGCATGTATTTAAGACTGAAATGGATAGATTCTTGATCAATAGGGGAAGGGTTGATCAAGGATTATGGGGAAAGGGCAGGATAGTGGACAGTAGGAGTGTCGGATCATCATAGTCCTACTAAATGGTGGAGCAAGCTTTGGGGCCAAATGGCCCACTCCTATTCCTGTTTCTTATGGTCACCTTGGCCTCAACTCTACTTTCCTGCCCAATGTGGCAATACATTGTGTGCTATGTAGCTGTTGTACACTGTTTACATGCATGAATTGAATGTCTAGGGCAGACACAATAAGCATGAATTGAATGTCTAGGGCAGACACAATAAGCATGGATTGAATGTCTAGGGCAGACACAACAAGCTTGGATTATACAAGCTTTAAGCTTACAGAGATCTCTGAAACCACAAACCTCTGCTCATTATCCCCTGCTCCTACTCAGCTGCGTCCAGACTTTTGTTTTATTGATCCATTAAAGAACTCATCTTGCCCACGTTAGATCTATATGTTAGGTTCTGCCTTTATTTTATATGGTTACAATGCAGATTTGTTGCAAATTTGGAGAATGGACCACCTTACATCACCTTTTGTGAATCAACAAATTAGTAGTACAATTCTATAGCCAGCTCCTAGGCATTATTGCCGTGTGATTTGTGGAGCCTTGTGAAAACTGGTTGCTTTGTTTCTTGCATTACAACATTCCCTACACTTCAGGAACACTGAATTGGTTGTAGGGCACTTAGCAGTGACCTAAGGTTATGAAAGGTGCTTTATTAATATTAAAAATAGAAGTTACTGATATTACATATTCTGAAGTATGAATAATTGCTAGTTTAAAAAACTTCTGATACCATTATACAAACTTGCTGTTCTCTTGCTATCACCTTTATACATTTATAATTTATTTTGAACTCCCTATGAAGAGTCCTGGCTTATTTTTCCTAATTCGAATCAGAAAATATTCTGAACATTATTCTCAGTAGTTTAAAAAATGCAAAATGCTACAGATGCGGAAAATCTGAACTACAAACAGGAAAAAAAGCATTCAGCAGGTCAGGAAGGATCTGTTGTTTGAGGAAAACTATTCTTTCTCCACAGAGGCTGCCTGACATGCTGAGTGTTTCCAGAAAGTTTTTGTTATTCTATTCCCTCAGTAATGGATAAAGAATTACTCACATCCCAAAATAACTTTGCCTAATATTACAAGTATGAATTAACTATTAAGAATTATTATAGATTATCACCTGTTGCTTAATATGGTTGGTAGTTTAACCTTGTATATTAGGGAGTCACAGAGGTCTGTAGCACAGAAAAAGACCTTTTGGCCCATCACATCTGTGCCAGTCAAAAACAATCACCGATCTATTCTAATCTCATTGTCCAGCACTCGGCATCACAAGTGCACATTTAAATACTTTTTAAATGTTATGAGGGTTTCTGCCTCTACCACCCTTACAGGCAGTGAGTTCCAGGTTCCCATCACACTCTGGGTGAAAACATTTTTCCTCACATCTCCCCTAAACCTTCTGCCTTCATTTAAATCTATGTCCCCAGTTAAATGATCCCCCCCCATCAATGGGAAAAGTCTATTCCTGTCTACCCTATCTATGCCCCTCATGATTTCATGAATTTTAATCATGTTCCCTCTCAATCTCCATTGCTTTAAGGACATCAACCCCAGTCTGTACAATCTCTCTTCATAACTGAAACTGTCCAGCCCAGGCAGATCTGCATCCTCTTAAGTGCAATCACATTCCTCCTATTGTGTGGATTCCAGAACTGCATGCAACACTAGCTGTGGCTTAACCACAATTTTATGTTTTATAGTTCCAGGATAACTCTTACACTCAATGCCTTATCTAATAAGGGCAAGTAAGCCATTTGCCTTCTTAACCCCTTTATCCACCTTTCCTGAAATCTTCAGGGACCGAACCTTGGTGCTTCCCTTACCTTCTGGTGAGTTACAAGCTATTAATCAGGATAGCAGCAGAGTTATTAAAAGTGTTCTTAATGCATCTCAGTGAGGGAGGAAAAAAACAGACTTGATTTCTGTTCCCTATCAATTCCTAGAAAATGTTTTTGTGGACTTTGAGTGAGACTAGGTTTTACTCCACTTGTGTGAAGTTAAGCATCAGTTATTAACACCACACCACAGTGCTATATGATCTTAGCTATGTATATAACTGAATATTTGAGATTAGTTTATTACCCACTGTGACAATAGTATTTTATCAAACAATATTTACAACAAATGCATAATAGTAACAAAATAAAATGCATCAATGATTATTGTATATTTATTATTAATGTTAAGTATTGGAGAACCACTCCATGTACTTTATGTTGCTGTAAAACATGGTACATATGAAAACCAATCTTGGGCTCGATTATGTAACTTTTATCTTTAAAATTTGCTTCCGTCTTGATCTACTAGTATGATTCACTAGAATCCCTAAAGAGGCTATTTGGCCTATCCGGTCTCCCACCCAGACCCAACCCCCTCCACCCTATCCCCAAACCCCGCATTTAGCATGGCCAATCCACCTAACCCTCACATCTCTGGACTGTGGGAGGAAACCCACAGACACAGGGAGAAGTGCAAACTCCACACACACACAATCGAACCAGGGTCCCTGCCACTGAGGCACCTAGTTGTGAAACGCAACCTATTCTGAAGATGGGTCACTGGAATCGAAATGTTAACTCTGATTTCTCTCCACAGACCTGCTGAGTTTTTTTTTCCAGCAGTGCCTAGTTCGTGACAAAATTAGCGTAAGAACGCTGCTCGACAACAATCGACCTGGCAAAGATGAAATAGTATTATTTCTCAGATTGCAATTTAAACACTGCGCATTACAGGACACATTTGTTCCTTACCTTTTCTTTTCGATAGAATACGCATAGACCAGCTCAACATTTTTAACTTTTAGAAATCCGGGCGCGGAATCGCAAGAATTCCGTAATTGCTTGCGCTCAATCTGAAATTGGTCGATCTCAAAAGCTTCATTGTATTGTCTTTGACTTAACGTTCTAATTTCATTCTTAGACTGAATATTAACACATTTCTGTTAGCATTTGGAAAGTTAAAATAACAATCTAGATTTACGGGTAATCAGTAATTTTCTTACAGGCGAATTAATTGTTATGCAAATAAACCATTTAGCGCCCATCAATAAGATATGTTGTAAAAACTCTCCCTCCCTCTCAATGTAGAGCTGGAGGAACACAGCAGGTCAGGCAGCATCAGAGTTCTGAGGAAGAGTCCCGACCCGAAGCGCCCTACTCCGCTGATGCTGCCTGCCCTGCTGTGTTCCTCCAGTTCCATACAGTGTTGACTCTGACTCCAGCATCTGCAGTTCTTGGTTCTGTCGGTCCCTCCCTATCAATTTGTCTTCCAAGAAAGCAGATCCAGGAAATTCACAGGAAGGAACGACAAACATTCTGAAATATGCCCCATTTAGAAACGAAATTCGTTGCTTTCAGAAGATATTGAGGAAAGACTGGAGAGTGGACAGAGGTACCTAATTTGAATATTATTAGCGTTATAACATTTCAGTTGTGTGCTCAGCTTGCAGAAAATGACATTGCTCTGTTTAGAGTAGAGAAAGACTTAGATTTTGGGGGAGTGGAAGGGGGTGGAGTGATGGAACAAGTAGGAAGGAACTTTTTTCATCAAAGAAGTTGGGGGGAAAGTGAAGGTCAAAGATAAATGTTTCTTTTCACAAACAGTTGTCAAGATCTCAAACGCACAACCTGAGATTTTTGAAAGCAGATTCCACAGGAAATTACAAAACACAATTGCCCACGTATCTGAAACAAGTCGAAGGTACACGGTTATGGGATGAAAGCTGGGGGCATGGGACTAAACTGGACAGCTCATTCAAAGAGCTGGCAAAGGCATGATGGGCTGAACGGCCTCTTCTGTGCGTAATGATCTTAAGGTATGAATATTTTCCCGTTATTTTTCAACGGATGTACAGACGTGTCAGTACAAATCAACTACGAGATGGGGTAGATTCCTTGACTGCGTCTTCAGTAGTGGAACTGAAAGTGATCGATTCATTCGACTCTTTTAGATACTCAACTACAGCGTTCTCCAGCTACACATTGACAATGTAACGGCACGGAAATATAAACATTTGTCGGATTCTCGTGGAAGATTTTATTCGCAGTTCATTTCAATATTGAAAAAACATGGTTGTCAAACTTTTTTTTCTGAACGGACTATGCTACTGCGGAAAGGGCAGATCCTCAGTTGATCAGTTTCCCCTTGCATATTACAATATTACCGCTCTCAAAAGATTTGAGCAATTTATTCACGAGCAATTTTGTCATAGTAGGTTAACACAGGGATTCAGTTTAAATGTTTGTTGTTTCGGTCCTGGCACACCAGATTGATGTTCAGCCCAGCATCCGTTGTAAAGATACCCGCTGCTGATATATTAGACATTTAAAATGAAATCATATAGAGACAGAATTGTCTTTCCTTCGTTTCTAGATTTACTAAGAAGGTCGTTATATAATAACCGCATCAATTCAGAATAATCGGACGTTGATAATAATAATTCCATGGCATTCTATATTTTAATCTAACAAACCCCCCAATGTCAATGACATTTTCTGTCTACTTCAAGTAAGATCAGTTTCACCTGGTTAGGAAGCGCAGTAATTACTGATGTATTTAAAACACGGAATACGAAGATGATGCACTTTTCTAACGTTTCAACTTCAATCATCCAATTTCGTTGAGCTTGAATTTTTAGAGCTTCACTCTGCTTTTCAATATGCAAAAATACCGCTGTGGCAAAGTGTGTATAGGTATGATCAAGAGGATATACTTACAGACTCGAGGAAGCTGTTGAAACTATTTCGTGTTGTCAAGCTGACAAAGTTGAAGATGTGATTTAATTGACAAAAATGTATTTCGCAATGACACAATAATTCAGTACTTTAAAAACTTCAGTAGAAGGAACTGCGAAACAATACTGCCGTTCATTTCCCATTGCCTTGTACGGGAGCACTTTGACATCAACAAATCAGTGGTTACGTTGCCAACATTTATCATCCGCCGGGTTTCCTTGTCCTATTTGATGTTTAAGGTTTCACCTGAAATTTACGACTTTTTCAACTGCACATAAGATCAAGACCTTTATAAAGCGCGCACAACGTTACTGCTTTGAACCGCTCTGTGGCAGTTGGCATACCCAGGACCAAACAGCGGGAAGCGAGAGCTTCACTTTCCCGAGATACAGCCGTCCAGGTGGTAGATAGAAGCGAAGCCGGCAGCTGCTGCTGCAGTTATTATTCCAAACCGACGAGATGGTCTAATGTTGCAGCCTGATTTTCATGCAACGTTAGTAGCATTGAGCGATGTTATATTGTTAGGGTGAAACAAAAGATACTTGCAAGTACCACTTAAAACACACACACGTTGATTGTTTTTTACTGAAGAAGAGCCTAGGCCCGAAACGTCAGCCTTCCTGCTCGTCTGATGCTGCTTGGCCTGCTGTGTTCATCCAGCTCTACACCTTGTTATCTCACGTCGATTGTTTTTTCGCCAGTTGAATGTTTTGTATCCAACAACGTTTTTCAATTATCTGAAGTTTTTTTTGAACTTTAAAATAAGTCATCTCGAGGCATAAAAAGTTAATTCACCTTTAAGGAAATCACAAACTAACTGGAACAGATTTGGACGCAGAATTCTGATAGACCTTTCTATATGATAGGATAAGTGGTGGTAATCCTGGTTACCTGAAGTTACTGTGATCTTATGGCTATAATTCGAAGGACCATCACATTGACTACACTAGGTGAACGGATTGTCTTCAAGAGGTTTGCTAGAATTGATCAACCTGTCCCTGTATTTTTCTAGTATGTACAAGCATCAGGTTACTTGAAAGACTTTACATAAACCCAAATGAGAAGTGATAGAAACCTAGAAAATAGTTAGAATATGCTAGTCATTTCTTGTCAAGGTGAACATGTTGCAACCATTTCTATATGAAACGGTTCAATACAACTGCCCTTATTTTCTACAATACGTTTACAAATTGCTCAATGAAGGTTTCACATCTAACTTTCGGAAGTGAATCCGCAATTTTATGCTTTGCGAAACCTGCAGATAAGCTCCAATCATTCTCTAGATTCAAAAAAAAATCGTACCGCCCCTTCCAGGAATTCAGTGAAATGCAACGTTAATTGGTACATTCCATGCAGTCTAATTTCCAATTGACTAAAACAAAGCTTCATTGTTTCACGAAGTCAGTCACATTTAATAGATTTAAATCGGAAAGATGAGTGACACAATTAATAGTGATGATCGACACATTGAACAAAAATTGAAATTTTATAGCAATGTACCTGAAGGCCAAATCGCGATAGATACGATGGGGGTGTTGTTGCCTTTGCTTTTGAAACTTTATATACATTTCAGGATAGGAGAACCTATTTAAACCATTTACAAGATTGAAGCTATTAATGTTGATCTGTAATTTTGCATATCTAGATTAGTCATTTTTTGTTAATATAACACAATTCGGCTAAATTTATATTTTGTTATTATCACAATGGACAATTAATGAACATAATGGTAACCGTAAAGGAGTAGATTTTTAATTCACAAATGGAAGACAATTATGCACACCACAAAGTCCCACAAGCAGTGATTTTATAAAGGATGAGTTAATCTGTTTTGAAAGTATTTATTGAAGGAAAATTACAGAGCAAGACATCTTAATTGTCCTTGAGAAGGTGGAGTTGAACTGCTCCATTGAATGGCTGCAGTCTATTTGGTAGAAGGACACTAAGTGCTGTTAGGGAGGGAGGTTCAGAATTTGGACTAGACAGTGAATGAATGATACAGTTTCAAGTGAGGATGCTCAGTGGCTTGGAGGGGTTTTGCAGCTGGTAGTTCCTGCATCTCTGCTGTCTTTCTCCTTCTCGAGGTCATTGGGTTTGGAAGGTTCTGTCGAATGAGCCTTGGTGAATTATTGCAGTGTGTCATGTTGATGATATATACCACTGCTGTTGTGCATTGGAGAGATTGCCACTATTCCACCACCTTGAATATTCAATCAAGTGGACTACATTGCTCTGGGTGACTGAGCATTTTGAGTATTATTGGAGCTGCACTCATGCAGGTAAGTGGAGAATATTCTATCACACTCCTAACTTGTGCCTTAAACAGGCTTTGGGGAGTTAGGCAGTGAGTTACTTGCTGCAGAATTCCTAGCCTTTGACGTTTTCTTGTAACCTTCTTATATGCTGGCTCAATTCAGTTTCTAATCAATAGTAAACCCAGGATATTAGTAGTGCGGATTCAGTGATGGTAATGCCATTGAATTTAAAGAAGTGGTTGTATTCTTTCCTGTTGAAGAGAACCATTGCCTGGCATATATGTGGTGCAAATGTTGCATGTGGTTCATCAACCTGAGCCTCAATGTTGTTCACATCTTGCTGCAGTTAGTCCCTGAAGAATCATGAAAGATCACTTATCTTACGATTGAGAGAAGTTCATTGAAGCAGAGGAAGATAGTTGGATGAGAACTCAACCCTGAGGAACTTGGGGCTCTTGTGTAGTGTTCTGGTTCAGGAGGCCCAGGTTCAAGTTCCACATGCTCCAGAGGTGTATAGTAACATCTTTGAACAGGCTGATGAGAGAATGTCTGTCTGTTTACCTTGAGGAATTATAGTGCTCTTGTAATGCGGTGGTAAGATCCCTACTCTGAACCAAGAGACCTTGGTTCGAGTGTCACCTGCTTCAAAGGCATTGCATAACAATCTAAACAAATTTGTTAAATTATGCTAGATATTTTAACTGAGATCTTGTAGTACTATGGTAACATCCCAACTCTGAGTTGGAAAGCCTGTGTTTAAGTCTGACCTGCTCAAAAGTGTGTCAATTGAAATGTATACAAATCTTAGGGCCTTGACAAAGTAAATGTTGAATGGCTGTTCCTCTTGACTGGGCTGTGTAATTATGAATATTATGTTATGAAAGGGCTCTTGTGGTGCACTAGTAGTGTCCATACCTCTGGACCAGGAGTCTCGGGTTCAATTCCTACTG